TGAGCCCAGGAGTTGGAGGTTGCTGTGAGCTGTAATGCCACAGCACTCTACCCAGGGGGACAGCTTGAGGCTCTGTCTCAAAAAAAAAGAAAGTGAGGCAGAGAAGGATGGTCATCCCTGCTACTCATCTCTCCCTGGCCCTGGCCCTGGTGACTCCTGACACCCACAAGTCCACAATCTTTGTGTGGCGGGTGGAGCAGGATGGGGCCCATCTTTCCCAGCAGGTCTAAAATTGCCCTCCCCAGCCTCTTAGGTGCTAGGCAGCAGCAGCAGCCAGTGCCTTGGTGCAGGGATTTCCTGAGGACTGAAGCAAATGTCTTGGCTGTGACTGATGCTCTCACAGTGCAGGGCACGTGGCCTGGGGGAAGAAGTCTTGTTTTCCCAGCAGGAGCGCTCTGGTGCCCAAGACTAGGCAGGGGGCCACCTGGCACAGTTTACATCTTCACACAACAAACGCATCAACAAATGTGTAAAAAGAATCACCTCAAGGTCAAGGAGAGTGCTAGTAAAATGGGGGGGGGGGAATGGGAAACTGAGTAAATTGGTCACTTACTAAAATAAGGATGGTGGCCGACCTGGTGAGGGGCAGGCAGAGTGAGGTGTGGGGTCTCTGTTGACCCTGGGAAAGAGCAAATTCCCTTTTGAAAGTAATAGGAGGCCTCTGAGTAACTTCAAACGGCAGGGGCAGGATCTGCTTTGTGTTTTCCAAAGATCCTTCTGAGTATGTGGTGTGGAGAATGGACTGAAGTAGGGTAAGCTCACTGGACACTCTGGAAGGGTAGATAAGACCCTTTTATAAAAATAGTGATGCAGGATGCAGGTATAGTGGCCACCAGACCCCTGGTGGTGATCAGCCCCAGGACACTGAGTCAATCCTCGGCTGTTTTCTCCTTCCTTCCTGTGTTTTTTCAACACTCCCTGGCTTTCACCTTCTTGGTCCAGCCCTTGGCATGTGGCATCAGTAGGGCCTCCTTTTCTTCTCATCCACTGCCAAGGGGGGAGAGACCTGCCAGGCAAAGAGCAGGAACAGCCCGCAAAGCCGGAGGGGAGGTGGGTGTTGATCACTACATTGGCTTCTCCCAGGCAGTGGAGAAAAGCCCCAAGGATGGAAGTCGGGGACTGCCTAGTTGGGACACTTGGAACTCGGGGAAGAGGACGGCACACCCTCTGTGCCCTAGGTAGTCCTTGTGGACTCTGGACATTAGCAAAGTGCCTACCGTGACTCCTCCTGGGCTGCACCTGTGTGAAGGGAGGGACAGGCCTGTCTAGACACAGACAGCTTCTGGCTCTGTGCCCAGAACTTCCTATACTGGCCTTGACTCGAGTGCTCTCTCTACTGTTTCAGGCCAGTGATATGCCAAGTTCCCTGAGTCCTCTGAATCTGCCTGGAGCTGCAAGTGAGATGGAAGAGAAGGTAACAGGCCTTGAACTGACTGACAGCTTCCTTCCTTGCTTTCCTTTTCTTTCTTTCTTTTTTATTTTATTTGCAATTTGCTACCTTATTTTTGCTACCTGTTTATAAACATTGTCTTCATAATATATCACTTGAAATTCCTTCAAAATGCAAGCCATGGCAGATGTTGCAAGGCAGGGCAACTGCTAGAACTGCACCCTACTCTGAAAACAGCCACACTCCTAGTATACCTGTGTTTGGGGTCTTTGGAGTTGTCATGACACTGTTAATCAAATGACAAAGAGATTCCAGAATACCTGTACCCAAGTCTCTAAGGAAAAGAATCCTTACACTGGCGGCACCTGTAGCTCATTGGGTAGGGTGCCAGCCATACACTGAGGCTGGTGGG